GAGGTTTTCATCAGAGGGTGAGAATGAAAAAGGAAAGAAAGATGGAGGTGTGGAAAAGTGTTAATGTAACTAAATGTGGAAATCTCTCTGTCAAGCTTTGCTTCCCATAATGCAGGAGTTCATCCAACCGCTAGTACAGATTATAACATTTTGACCAAGACAAAAAAAGCAGCAACTTGTTTATGTGTTTGTTTTTAAGCTATTTTAGCTCTGTATTTGTTCTAATATTAATGTGCATTAGTCAGTTTCCTATGTTGTTTTTTTAATGAACTAACACTAAAAGTTTTGCTAAAAATGTAATGTTATCATATCTGTTGTAACTATACTGCAATACCTTGATAATAAAAGCTTAAATATAAGTGCATATGTAATCTGAAAAAAGAAATTCTATCTGCTATCTCTAAAAATGCATCAAATGCAGTAAATGGAAAGCAAGACATGAAATATTTCTTCGTAGTTTTACAGCATGTAAGAGCAGAATGAGGAACAAAATGATAACAGACGAGGAGGGGTAGCATGAGAGTCAGATTGAAGCCTGCAGTGTCACTACAAAGCTGATAGTAACAGCTACAAAAATCATGCAGGAGTCAAGGAAGAAGTTCAGTTACATCATGCGTTGTTAAAAGTGACACTACACGACAGCTAGCTACAGACGCTGAGCTCTAATCTGTCACGAGGGGCAAAACTTGTTTAGGAAGCATTGGAGCTAGTTCATGTAGTTTTTAAAAAGGTCATGGTCACAAGTTTCATTATTTTCAATGGAGAAGTAAAAGCTAAACCCCAGTCGACCATTTGGGTGCAATAAATAAACTGTCATGCTGTTGTTGGCTCAGTAAAATGATGCCCATTGCAAGCAAGGCTGGATTGCCCACTGGGCACAGTATGTAACTATTCAGGTGATCCGAAAGGTCGAGGTTCAAAATGTGACATTCAATTTGTGGTAAAAAGACTACAAGTAAATATGTTTGTGCAGAAAAGTCAGAAGTATATTTTAACCTATAAATTAACATCACTTAACAACATTGCTACCCCACCTCTTGAATCACCGGTCACAAAAAAATCTCAATATCAGTTGTTTCAGGCAAATTAAAAATTTCTGATTGAAACCTTCCAACATCAAAATGCACGATCTTCTACAATGACCCAAACACGTCGGCTCTGTAGAAGTTCATGAAAGTTCTTTATCATTTTGTCTGTGTTGATTTAAAGCTTTAAAATCTTCAAATCTGGTCATGCAGACTTTTGAACATTGTTTGGTTTCCCTGGCACCAAAGGAGGAATAAAATATAGGAAATACAACACAAATACAAACGTCAGTTTTTCCGTAAACTGTTTTCTGCACATTTTCTGCACACAGACTAGAATGGAGGACTTAGCTGATTAAAATGAAGAAAACAGACTGAGTGTGATGCAGTTCAGGACACACACAGCACGTGTTTCATGTCTAAACTAAAGTGGCACCAGCCTAAAAGCACCTGTGTTGTAATGGGGCCTCAGATGGAAATTTAGCTTTTAGGCTTTATTATTTCAGCTTGCAATGTGCTTATATGGTGTACTTGACAAAATAATTGTATGCTAATTACATTACCATAAACTCATAACTAATTAATAACAATTTATGCACCGAGAGCGAGTTAAATTAAACAAAAGCCTACAGCTTATTATTGGAGTCCCCGTGGTGGGTTAATCCAGCCCTGATAAGGTTCTCTCTATTCCCCTTAAGTCTGCTTACATGACTATTTCATTATGGAAGACAATTTCCTGATATACCCCCAAAACTTTTCCATGACCTCAAATTTAGTAATAATCACTGCCTGCAGACAAATGCTGGAAATTTAAAAAGGAAAGGATGTGATGCGGTAGAGCAGCGAGCGGCAGGCTGATACTTACCCTGCATCTCTATAGAAATACCAGAGGGGAGGAGAGACAGAGAGAC